GATTTTAAGATTTTGCATAGTAGGTAAATTATTTGTAAGGACTTTAATATAAAAGGAGTATTTTGAAGAGCAATGCTTAAGAGAGTTAAGAATTTTGAAGGTAAGGTTCCAATTTATGTCAGATATATAATTATTAAAGAATTTGAGAGAGGTCCATGAGAGAAGTTCTTGAATTGTAATAGTGCTTTTGATGAATAAACAAATTTTAGGTGTTATTGTATAGTTATACCAGATAAAGTGAATAGGAAAGTTAAAGTGTGAAAAAAAGATTTCTATAATTGGGTTAGTTATGCTGTGTTTAGCTAGAAGGTCAGCTTGGTTATGAAGAGAGTTATTTGAATGTAATTTAACTTTAATAAGATTAATAGAAATACTTTTAGTAATTATGAGTGAGTTAATAATAAAGATAATGTCCTAGTTTTTTTGTTAGATAAGTTTATGAGATGTAGAATCTGATAAGCCTTTGATTTCTGAAAGGCTGTCCATATACATAGTAATTGTAGAATTGATTGGTAAGGTAAGAAGTAAAGGAATAGTTGCTATTAGTTCTGAGCGAGTAGAGTCAGGAGAAGAAGGGATTGCTGCACAAAAATTAATAGAGGGGTCATTTTCACAGATCTAACTGATGCTGGTCTGTATATTAGGTATTAGAAGATTTTTAATAGAAGCATTAGTATAGAATTGTAAATCAGTTGTGTTTAAGTTTGAGATATTGTTATACAGTTGTATTATATTAGGTGGTTTTGATAGCTAGGTGTTTTGACGGTATGTTGTATAAGATGTATTTCACGGGAGGATAAATTAATTTGAGGTTGGTATAAAGAAGAAGTTGGAGTTATAGTAAGGTTTTTAGATATATTGATTATTGCAAGAATCTCATTATAGTTTATTTGTAAGAATGGTTTTTTGAAATTAATTTGTTTGTATAGTAGATTTATGAATGTTAAGTTGGATACTGTATTATTAGTTTCTACCAGTTCTGTAAATCCTGCGAATCCTGTTTGTTCAGTTTGTATAGTTGATGAGATGATTTAGTAATGACTAATTTGTTAAGAGTTTGATTGATTAATAATTATGTTTGAATTATGTAGTGAAAGTTAGTAGAGAAAGGCTAAATTTGTTAGAGATATTAGATTGGTAGTATTAATAAAACAATTTGTTGGAGGTAGTTGAAGGTGTGGCCAAGTAGTTTGAATAGAGTTTGATTGTATATTCTGTAGAAGTTGTATAAACCAGTGAGGTTAACAACATCTAGTTGCTTTGTTTGTACGAAAGTATATATTATTCCATGATAGTAGAAAATTATTATCTGCAGCTATAATTTGTTCAATAAAGAAAATTTTGTTATTTTTGAGACTGTTAATTGTAAGATTATTAGGAGTTGTTGGGAGTATATCATAAATTAAATATAAGTGTTCTGGAATAGAAGAGGGGAAGGTTGCGATTTAAGGAATGGAGAAGATTGTTATGTTATTTTTGGCTAGTTGTGAGAGATGAAAAAGGAGAGTGTAGTTTTGTGTTTTACGATAGTGACGAAGAAGTATTTCGTTTGATAGGTTGGCTAACCAAGTTTTGAAGAGCCAAGATTTAATACATGCAATGCCAATAGTGTGAAGAAGTAGGAAAGAATTAAATATATGTTCAGTATTTGAAGCACTAACTTTCTGTATTATGTTATTAAAGGTAAGTAAATTAAAAGTAAGTGGATTAGTTAAAGTAATATTATTAGTATTTTTAGCAAGTGAGAGTATTCTTTTTGTTTGAATAGAAAGAAGTTGAGAAAGATTGGTTTGAGTGTTTTTGTACATTGGGATGATTTGCAATAAATATTTTAAGAAAGGTTGTAATATATTAGGAAGTTTTCTATTTTGTTATATATTGTATCGAGAGTTGGTTTGAATAAACCAGAACCATCATAGTAGATATCTAGGTATTTAATTATATCTGTAGGTTTTGTAGAAGAAATTGCTTGATTATTAAATATAAGAGTATAATTTATTGTTTTGGAGTTTTTGGGGAATATATGAAGCAGATCAGATTTTGTTGGATTGACTTCTATGTTATTGATTTTGTATAAGGAAGAGGTATTATTGAGAATATTTTGTAGATCTTCAGAGTGTTTGCAGTGCCGACCATTTTAGTGCAAATGTTCAAATTCTAAAAATTGTTTCTGTATATTCCATAAATGAACCAGATCTAAATAAAATTGCATTATCCAAAGTAGCAGAAATTATATTATCTAATAAATCAATAGCTATTCTATATTCAGTTTCTTTACAATATAATCCAAATTTTTCAAAAATTACTTTTTTTAATTTTTTGCCATGCTTTATGTGCTAATTCTAATAAAAGATTAATTTGCCAAGGTTTAGGTTTTTTAGCTAATTTTTTTTTATCACCAAATACAAAATGAAATAGTTGTTTAAAAAATTCATAA